CAGGTCTTTATAGTTTATTTTTATCCGGTCCTTATACTTTCACTTGTTTTTAATTAGGTCTTTGTATTTATTTTTCTTTTTATCAAGTCCTTATAAGTTCACCTTATTTTTAATTAAGTTCCTAAATTTTTTATTCTTTATTTTATAAATTCTAATAGTACTATTATATAAACATAAAATAGTATATATTATTTAATATTAGTTTATAAACAATAATATTCTAAAGATATTGAATTATTACAATGATTTTAATTTTTTCAGAAAAAAATTAACTGTTCTAAAAAATTTTCCTGAATTAATTAATTCTATTACTTTTTTATTACATAATTATTAATTTAATTTAATTATTAATATTTTATATTTCAGTATTAATCTATTTAATTAAGTGTATATTTAATTAATAAATAAAAATTAAAACTACATGGACCTGATTAAAAATTTAGTGAAATTATAAGGACTTAGTTAAAAGGAAAATAAATACAAGGACCTAATTAAAAAAAAATAAAAGTATAAGGACCTGATAAAAAGGAAAAAAAACTATAGGGACCTAATTCAAAATTCATTAAAACTATAAGGACTTGCTGATTAATTAACCCTTTATAAAATACAAGATAAATATGTGAGAAAAATCTTATATTAATCTATGTAACATATACTTATAAGTATTTATTTAAATGATTCCGAAGCAGTTGTAAAACTTATGCACAAAGAAAAGAAAAATGCAGACAATGTTGTGAACTAAATGATGCTGTAAAGTTTGTTTTGGCTCTAATAATAAGATCTTAATTGAGAATAATTATTTTTAAAATTCTCTTTACTAATTACAAATATTAAGAGTTTTTTATCAATAAAATAGTTTTTAATACAAAATATTAAAAATGGTATTTAAAAAACACTTATTATAAATAATTAATAATTAACTTAACTATTTTTTAAGGGAATACAGCAATTAAACAATAAAAATTAGTACAAGATGTTAAAAAGGGGTTTGGCCAAACAAAAAAAAAGGTGGCGGGGGAATAAAAGGAAATGGAGACAGAGGTGGGGAGGCGGAGGAGGGGGAAATGAGCTGGAGACGAGGAAGAAGTGGGACCAGGAATGCCAGCTGGGAGTGAGTGGGATGCTACGCTCTCCCTCCGCGTAAACCAAACGGCTATTTATTTGATATTTCCCCTTCTTCTTTAAAAAAATTACAGCTTTTTATTTGTTCCTCACCTTCCCTTGTCTTTATCTTTTTCTTTTTCTTTTTCTTCTCCTCTCTAGTTTTTTAAAAAACAAAACAGAATATTCTTATTCTCTCCTCTCCAGCTTTAAAGAACGCGTGTTTTTTTTTTCAGTTTTGAAATTTCAATGTAAATTTATGAGCAGCAAATCACCACTAGAAAACATATTTATATTACTCAATAATAAACTCAGGTCATATCACAAAAACATTTGAATGTATAATTAAAATGTATTTAATATAAGTATACCCTTCTCGTTGATAGATTATCTTTTAATTTTGTAGGAGATAAATTAAGTGCAAGTTTACAACAATAAGTCACGTGAAAAATCCTGCACCCTGAGGATAAGGCCCGCTCCCTGCCTGATGGCAAATTATGAGGATACATATCACCCTAAATTAACACGGGAAGATACCCTAGTTGGAAATAAATAAATAAATAAATAAGCAGTTATTCTTTGACTTGGTCTGGAATGAGCAGCATATTTATGGAGATGAGTATTTTATATAGGCAAGTACTTGGATTTTTTTCACGTGGGAGTGCAGCTGGGTGAAGCTGGAGTCTTGTTTTTGGAGGTTTCACAGTATAATACAACAGCGCAACCACCAGCGATGGAGATATAAACCTTGTTCACATCCACACCTGTTACTTTCTCCAAATCCCCTTTCAGTATTCAATAGGTCGCTCCCAGGAAAACAAAACTCATGCGGCTTTCTTCATCAATCTCAGAAAACGCGCCACCTACTTGCAGTGCCCCAAAATCAACGTCGACATATTCTGCCAACTCCCACTCTCTGCAACATACATTCGGCTGCAGAAGTAATACTACTTGATTATATTATTCATTATTAGCGTAAGAGCTAAATAATTAATATACTTATATTAAAAAAATCGGTTAAATTAATTATTTATAATAAATATATTGATGCTATCTTTTTAAAAATATTCATTGACATGTGAAATCACTATGGAGATTATCTGGGTGCAAAATAAATAAATGTTGGAGACAAAATGATTTTAGACATTACAGCTAAGATCAATTTGAATCTCCAACTGATTTTTACTGTAGTTGGCTAGTGTGAAAATATTAAAAAAATTAATTAAATTAGTTATTTGCAAATTGCAATAAATAGGTGTTGTTTTTTATGAAATACATTTGCTAATCATATGTATTAGCTAGAACTACTATTTGATAAAACATTTAACATATGTAACTATTATAAGAACTATTTTGAAAAAAAATGAATAGATATAAAAGACAAAGTAAATTAAAATTTTATATTTATGATCAAATTATAAGTTAAATAACCTATTATATTAAGGACATGATAGCAGCAATAATAACAATGCAAGTTGAGCTTTTCTCGTGAACTCTCAAGGGATGTTTGGTAACCTCCAAACCATAGTTTCAGAAGTATTTTTTTACAAAACGAGACAAACTCCTCCACATATTTACTTTGTAAATTGTAAAAGTACTTCTGAAACCATGGTTTGGTTTTTATCCAAATACCTTATGGAACCATGGTTTCAGTTTTATGGCTTTAGCTATCAATCTCCATCGCTATGCGGTTCACGCTGACATACCATTGCGCCCGACATTCTTTTGTTTGTCTGGGATGAATTTCCGAGAGATCTTAATCGAGAGGCTTATCAGATCAATAGAAAAAATACATTTGAGGATCAAGTTACTAATTTCTTGCCAAACAAGAATGTAGTTGCTGATTACTCTTCTAATCCTAAATATAAAACCTATTTTATAATATAATTTATATTATAAAATAGATACTTCTTCGGTCCTTAATATAAAACCCATTTAACTAATTTATTTGGATTAAGAAAGTTAGGTAAGTTAGTTAATTACAAGAAAAATGACATATTTTTCTTAAAACACCATAATTATCTTTTTTAATACCTCATTTCCCTCTTCTACTTGATTATAGTTGAGGGAGTATCCATAGGGATAATTTAGAGAAAATTGATAAATATGAGAAATAAATCTTATATTTAGAATCAAAACCAACTCAAAAATTAGGTCTTATATTAAAGACAGGGTGAGTATTATATTTAGAACTGGGAGAGTTATTGTTTCAAATGTAAGGTTACAAGGCGGGAACATTGATGCTCAGGCCCCGGGCGAGCATTATGGGCCATAGTAGCCCAATATGCCAAGGCATCAGATTCTAAAGAATCGAACAAGGAGTGTTCGCGGGACTGGTCCAACTCACCCAAAAGGAAAATGGACTTTAGCCCGAGAAACTGCTTTTCTCTGGTGGGTATTCTCCAAAATAAAAATAAATAAACAAATAAAAAAGGGAGTATTATTTTAAAAAAATAATTAAAAAATTTAATAAAGGTGCGTGTGAAGGTAAACTTGCGTGTGCTTGTGAGTTGTGACAGAGGTAGTGAGTGGTGGGATCACAAGAACAGGATCGTGCTTCTTGGTTCTGGTAAGAAGATTTTTAGTTATTTTTATGGCACATATTTTCTTTTGATAGAAGTAATATTATTCGAGATATATTTGGGCGCCAAAACCTTAATTTATTACTCATTCCGTCATTTTTTATAAGTAACAGCTATCATCTCATCTTATCTTTAAATATAAATATCTATAAATTGTCTTAAATTTAAATTTTTGTAGCAAATTTGTTGTTTTGTCTCCATTAGTTATTTATTTTTTTACTCAATTTTTCAAATAATCATTTCTCTCTTTCATAATTTTTTATTCTCTTTTTTATACTCTTTTTACCATAAATAGGAGTATTTTGAAGAAAAAATTCTCAATTTCTATATATTTATTGTCTTTAACTAATTTTTTTATTAATATAAGGGGATCTAAGGTTTTTTTTTTGGGGTCAAAACGGGGTCCAAGGTTATTTGTATAAAAGAATAGAAGAAGTACAAAGAATTAGCTCATCCCATCAGACTCAACATTTTATTGATGGTGTTGGGGTTATTAGCTTAAGGGGTGTTTGGATAAAGACTAAACTATAATTTTAAAAGTGATTTTACGGTATACAAAATAAATATACAGAAGAGTTTATTTTGATTTATGAAAAAATATTTTTATTAAAAAACATTTATGGGGGAATCCTCAATGACACTGAATATTGCGGACCACATAACAAAGGGGACATGAAAATAGTATGGAATAGGATTTTTTTTCTTTTCCTTTTAACCAGCAGAACAAGGGTACACAGAGAGCGGGTTGTTCTTCTTCTTCTTCCTTTTTTTGGTCCCAATTGACTGGGATTAGCAGAGAAAAGATAGTAAAAACCAAACAGCGAAACACACGTCAGAGAATTGAGCCTATGCAGATGCGGTGGGGCCCACATAATGAAGGTGAACGGGGATCACCAGCATTGATTGCATGGGGGCCTCGCGAAGTGCCCAGTCCCGTCATATCTCTTAGGTGTGGTACCGAGGCAGGACGGATCATATTTTGGGCTTTTGGCTCCAACCAACCAAACACACTCTTCTTGTGATAGAATATAGCGTTGTTTACATGTCAAGTATTGAATTGTCGTTTAACACAAGAGTATATTGAACTACGACACTCCTTCAAGCGTTTCCAGCCATGGAGTGTGCCATCCCTCGTTTGTGTGTGGTGGCCCTTCACTGGCCTAGTCCCATAACACTCACTCGACAATGAAAACACATGCGCCCACGCATAGATGTGGCACATTTGTTGGAATGCGTGTACGCATAGGCATGTTCTGCGTTTATATATCGTTCAAATGTCGTCTTATCTGGGTGTCTAATTTCAACCATACAACTAGCTTGAATATAAGCTGACTTCATTGATTTGCAATGGCTGATAACGGTAAGCCACATATAAACTATGTAGCACAAACGGAACATGCGTTGTCTTAGCTGCCTAGCTTCCACAATCCCACTAACACCCGCCACCGCGGACTGCCTCCCGTACTATTCCTAGTTTCTGTTTTACACAAGGCCTTCGTACATATGCCCAGTAAATAGAAATTATAGTAAGACCAAATTGATCACTCTTAATTATAACGACAATCAAATTAACAACTAGTTATTGGGGGCTGAGACAAGCTCATCCAACAAAGCCCTCAGCCTGCTGTCAGAGGAACCACCTGCCTTCCCGGCTTCCCTCGACACCTCCCCCCATTCGGCCGCCTTCTTCTTCACCTCCTTCCCCCTCTCTCCATTTCCCATCACCTCCTCCACGCACCTCCTTATCTCCTCCCCTCTCGCTATTCCGGCGCCGTCCTCCTCTTTTGTCACCCTCACCTTCACCCCGGTCTTCCAAACCTGCTCTATCAACTTGGCGTTTGTCGTCTGATCTGCCCACTGAGGTATTCCCACCACCGGCACCCCCGCCACCAGACTCTCCAGGCTCGAATTCCACCCACAGTGCGATACAAAACACCCCACCGACTTGTGTGACAGTATCTCCGCCTGCTTACACCACCTCACTATCTTCCCCTTCTCTTCCATTTCCTCCGCGTACTCGCTCACCTTCTCTTGCTCTTCCTCCTCTCTGATTGACCACAAGAATGGACGCCCGCTGTCAATTAAACCACGCGCGATTTCCTCCATCTGTCTCTTCGGCAGCACGCATAGGCTCCCGAACGATATGTAAATCACCGATGACTCTGGTTTTGAACTCAACCATTCCATGTAGTCATTGCGGGTGTCCCAAAGGTTTTCCCCGTCTAAAAGAATCGACGGAACCAATGGGCCGACTGCAATCGCTCTGAAACTGTCATCGAGGACTCTTAGAGCGTCGGCTTCTAGCTCCTCGAACGTGTTCAACAGCACCGTTGGATTGGCTTCTTGTTGGAGGATTCGGAGTTCCTCTCCCATCAACGGCAGGACAAAAGCATAAGTGCCGGACAGGCATGTAATAAATGACGGCAGCTCCGGCGGTTCCAAAGGCGGCAGGCCCGGTAACTCTATTGAATTTGAAGCCGATGAGAGTTTGTTCTTGATTAAGTTGTCATCCTTGAAGTAGTAATAGAAGATGTCGAATAGCGTGGCGGGTTGGACCCACAATAGCGCTGAAGGAAGATGAAATTGGCGTGCCAGCTCTGTTGTCCAGGGAAGAAGCATGGTGTGCACAATACAAGTGAAAGGATGGCCACCATTCTGTTTGGAGGAGACTATGAGATCGGCGAGAGACTCGGAGCCACGACGCCGGAACTCCGACATGTAGTGCTCGGCGCTGGCTTTCAAATCGTCGCTGCCTTCTTCGGGTTTGTAACCGTCATCAAAGCCATCGGAGAAGGGGGCGAAGGAGAGGCCAGGGATGTTAGTTGATGTCTTGTCCATACGACGGTGCATGCGAACGGTGGTGGAGAGAGTGACGAGGACGCCCATGCGAATGAGTCTGTGGGCGAGCTGGAGAGCCGGATTGATGTGGCCTTGAGCCGGGAATGCGAGGATAAGAAAGTGGTGGTGAACCATGGTAGGGGCGGCGCGTGAGAAGGAACTAGTGAAAACCAATATCACTCACCGCTGGAGAATGAGATGAGAAGTAGTATATCTAACCACGGGGAAAACGAGATTATATTGAGGGGATGGTACAGTGGAGTGAAACCGGGGGAGGAATTGCACTGGAGGGATGGTTTATTCCTGGCTCGTGTTGTGTTTGTGTTTTTTTGTGGTCGTCTCAGATTGCGACAGGGTGGGGGGCCAATTATGTGAATTATTTGGGGGGATGAAGAGGCAAGGATCGAGTTGGCAGCTTCACCATATATAGCTTTAGACTTCAATATTTAGCTGTAAAAAAAAATTGAAAATCAAAACATCCAAAAAATCTGATCTGGTGGGGCAAAGCAAAAAAGTGAAACACAGTTTGATACACGTTTCTTTCTTTTTTTTTTTTGTGGTGCAGCAAAAACATTTATATGCCTACAAAAGTAAGCGGACTATGCATGGCTTAAAACCTAATAGAATGATTTTTTTTTTTTTTTTACATCCCAGAACTAGCTTTAAATTTGAGTCTGAAAAGGTAGCTGGGGTGAAAAATGCTAATGATAATTTTTAAAAAAAACGACTGAAACAACATTTTTTGGTTTTTGACTTTTATTTAGATTTCAGACTTTAAAAATTAATCTTCTCATATGTATATACTATTGAAATAAAATTACATGAAACTGATTTTATTATAACAATCTACTCTTCTAATCTTATTGATGTTTAACCTAAATCAAGAAAAATCTTAAATTTTATTAACTCTATCTTAAAATCTAATAGCTCTTCAACTTTATTCCTATTTAATATATATTGCGTTATAATAAGAAATAATAAAATTATATATTCACATGAAAAATTATCTACCTGCTTTATAAATATAACGAAAAATATTCCTTCTCCTTTCTATTATATAGATAGGATAGCAGGAGTATTCATATCTAAATCACATTGTGGATTAACTTTTTATTCTAACCTCGATTTGTAAGAGTCACAAAACTCGATCCAGACAAGTGTCTGTAGTTGATGACAGAATGCCACTTATTTTAGTGTGATTGGGTAGAGATGAAAATAATGAAATGGTAATGATGTCTTGTCTTAACAGAAAAGTCAATGCGTGCACTGATTTGATTGAGACCTTGATGCTTGTTGAATATATTCAATGCACGTTTAGTTGACGAGATTAAAAATTCATGATGTGTGCTCCTCCTGGTATTATTATAAACTTTAAATAATTAATTCACAGATAATAAATAATTAGTTAAAGTTAGTTGAAAATAATAAATATATTATAAATATATTTTTACTTCCAAATATACCCTTATAATAAACTAAGAAAAAAATAAAAGATAATGTATGGAAAAATGTGACAAAAGAAAAATAATTAAGGGTAACATTGAAAAAATATACTAAATGTTAAGACAAAACAAAGTTAAAACTTATAAAATGGATCACGCTCTTTCTTAAATTTAAAGCTGAAATGTAGGACTACAAGGAGTAATTATTAGCATAAGTCAATTCCAACTCATTCTCGTATACACGAAAAAATACATTAAATTGATAGGACTATAATTATATAATAAAAATTATAAAAGCGGCCTAACTACACCCTAAACAGATTAGGGAAAGCTAAGATGACGATTTTCTCTCATAATAATATCAATAAATTGATAAGAATATTAAAGAAATTTAGACTGAGAAACAGAAGATAATGGATTTCACTCGCATGCTGTTTTGGACATGAGTACGATTACTCTGTGCTTGACCCGTACTCATGGGCGCCCTGTCCAGCCACCGAGCTACAAAGCCTCTGGTCATTAAAAAACTTTAATGACGAGTTCAATGCATGTATACCAGCACTACGATACACTAATTGACTGTTCATGAATGTAAAGTGCGAATAAACAGGCTTTACTCCTTGATAGTCTCAGGGTAAGTTATGAACCATCATAATCAGAATTCTTAAGTTTAAAGAGTTAAGAGGCATGAATAGAGTTTTTGGGGCTGTTCTGCTGCTGGGCTTCACAGCTCGATGTAAGTAATCAACAGTTGCCAGTGTTGTTATATTGTAGGATAATATCCATGGCAGAATAATAATGAGGTTAAATTCTGGATGAATGAACAACGCAGGGATCAAGGGACAGTGCTCGTTAAGTGATGTGACGGTGAAACAGACAAGAACAGGGGCGACAATGAAGAACAAAACAGAGTGGGGAGTGACAGTCGCCAATGGATGCGCATGTGTGCAGTTGAATGTAACGTTGTCATGCACTGGTTTTCGAACTGTGGAGGCTGTCGATCCTTCCACGTATTACTGTGTCGGGGGATCATTGTATGCTCCTCAACGGCCAATCAATCGCCAGGGATCATCCCGTCAGTTTCAAGCATGCTTGGGATGATTCCTTCCGGCTGCCTCCCCTGTCCTCCCAGCTTGCCTGTTCCTAAAATTCAAGGGCTGCTTTGATTTTTGTCAATATACTATCAAGTATCAACCACCCTCCTGCGGTCCTGCCCTTTCGTTTCGCCTTTGGGGAGTTTGTGAAATAAATCATAGTACTATTTACCAGTTATATATGAAGAATCTGACTTGGCGTGACTTTTATTATTCGTGGTTTTTCCCGAAGTTTACTACTTAGGTTGATACGAAGATGCTGGTTAAAAATAAGACAACGATGTTAAGTGTTACTAATCAATACTGTCTCCCATATTTAATATAAGTTCTTGTTTGATTTTTATTTTGATTCTAAATGTAAGATTCCAATCCATTTTGTCTTTTATATTTATACATTTTTTTTCTAAGAAAGTCCTTATAATAATAGTAGTTTTAGCCAATACATTTGATTAGCAAGGATATTTTAGAAAAGACAATACTTATTTATTACAAATAACTAATTTAACTTCTTTATTTAATCTACTCAAATTAATCAACTAGCTCTTATACTACCTCTGGTTCTTAATATAAGACTTCATTTAACTGTTATTTTGGTCCTAAATATAAAACCCTAATTCGCTTTATTTATTATATTTATACATTTTTTTCAAGGTAGTTGATAAAGCCCAATTTTTATATATTTTATCCCACAATAATTCAGGATTTAAATGATAATTTTGAGCTTAATTAGACTTTTTATGCATTATTGAATAAATTGGTTGATTTTTGGATTTTGCATAAAAATTGAGATTTTGGATTGAAAATATGAATATTTTGTGCTTTCCTATTTTTGACTTGGAATTAAGTTTTCTTATTTCTTTGAAAACAAGTCTCATATTTTTAGAAAGATTATTTTTAGAAAGTTTTGCACTTTCTTGCCTAATTTTTGTGCAGATTTAATATTTAATTTTTGATTATATTTGGATATAATCTACATTAATGGATGCACTTAAATTCATGTAGGTCAAGAAAGGGGCACATAGGAAATCCAATGATGCAAGATTGTTTCTTGGAATCTAAGCACAATCCAATGGCTAATATCAAGTGGGTCAATTAATTACTAATGGGCTTGAGCTTTGGATCCATAAAAATTTCCTTTTCCCTCATTATAAGATTTTCCTTATTTTTGGAGGAGATATTCACGCCAAAAGGGACCTCCTTTCCATTCTCCATTGAGGACGCACGGATACCATTCACCCACCGCCAAATCATACCTTTTAATCCTTCTCCATTCAACGCGAACGTACATCATTTTTTAACGCCAACTCTCTCCTCCCCCTCGTTCACGTCAAGCCTCTCACCGCCTTTGAATAGCCTATGATACATTCTCAAATCATTGGGAATTCAGTATCTTGAATACCTCTCTCCACTACCACGCCAAGGACGCACGCCACTGTTCTTCAATTTCCTCACCAACATGGCCGTTCTCCACGTCATTAAGCTTGGAGGAGAAGGTAATTTGATGGCAGCTTAAGCTTATAGGGAGGCAACTTGGGAGGAGCATGGAGGAGACTAGAGCCTTGGGCTAGCACTTGAAGACCACAAGGGAGTGATGCTTCATTTATCTTTTTAATTCAAGGACTTAAAATTATTTAGTTTTAAATGATTTTAAGTTGTATTTCTGTTGAGACAATTTAGTTCTAGATTGTCAATTTTATTCTTGGATTGAATTGATATTTGGATTTTATTTGTGTTGAGACACTTGTTGGAATATATGTTTGGAACCTTTGCATTGTTAATTGAATTTATAATTGAGTTTTCATTATGAGTTTAATTATCAATGTGGTTTGAATTGCAAAATTTGGGTTCTTTCACCTCTTAATTGTTTAATTAAGTTGGTTGATTATCTGATTGTTTAGTTGGATAATTTGAAACATAATTTCCAAAATTAAATTGAGATATCTTCATTGGTTTTGATAAGCTTAATTGACCAACCTTATACTGTTATGAGTTCTCTAATGGTTTAAGGGTTTTGAGATTAAGGGTTCCCTTTATTTCAAGTAGGTAATTAAGTTTATTAATTCCACTCTCTTATCACTTCCCTTTGTTTAATTAACTGATTAAGGTTATGAAGGTTAAATCCATGCAAATCCTAAGTTGTCCCCTCTACCGTACCTGAAGAGAAATCTCTAAATTTTTACTTCTTAATTTTCTTTGCTTTCTGATTAGTTTTCTTTATTCATTATTTTTATTTTCCTTCAAAAAAAAACCCCCAAAAATTGCATTGCATTTATTTAGTTTAATTTAATTTTCATATAGATTTTAGGACATTTGCATTTTCCAGTTAGGATTAGAATTTTGCATTTTAGTTTAGGTCCAATTTATTACATTTTTTTTATCACCTGAATTTTTACCTAAAGAAACCCATAAATTGCTCCTTGGAAGTAATGACCTAGGTCGATCCTAAACTACAAATCAATTAGGACCTAGTTTAATTGAGTGCTTTAACGACAAAAAGCATCATCAATTTTGGCGCCGTTGCCGGGGAGCAATGGTTAAACTTTAGGTTTAATTTCTAGGTGATTTTTTTCTCTCTGTGTTTTTTTGGTGCATTTTTTCCCCTTCTTTTCATTTTACTTGATTTGTGATAGTTGCTTCGTGCATGACTAGATCCTCTAGCCAAGAATTGTTTGAATTTGATCCCGAGATTGAGAGGACTTTTCATCAAAGAAGGAGGGCTCAAGCTAACAATCTTATAGAAAGTGATTCTTCTGTTAAGTTAACTGCTGATTCCTCTAATTCTCCTGACTCTTCTCATTCTGACAGTAGCATGGCTAATCCTGCTAGGACTATCAAGAATTGGTTTCACTTGATCTGCATTTTCAAAATTGGTGCATTAATTATCCTGATATTGACACTGATTTTGAGTTAAAGTCTGGATTGATTCACTTACTTCCAAAATTTAATGGTCTTGCAGGCGAGGATCCATACAATCACTTGAAG